TATACATTATTTACTTGAAACGGAATGGAGGATTTTAAACATAGATTAAATGATTTGCCCCTAGAAAGAATTATAAATCTTAAATGCTTCCCTCGTCGGACTGCTAATTGGATCTGAAATAAGGGTACAATGTACGATTATCGGGGAAAATAACCTGGAGGCTATAAGAATAATGATAAAGGCACAGACAATGCTTTACGAGGAAGCCGTGTCGGGGTGGGATAGTGGATGGGGGTAGGGTGGGAGATTGTTCTGCGGATTACCAATGGCACAAGAATAAATTAATTCAATGGTTTAAATTGAATCATGATCGTTCTACAACACACTGACAAGATGCAGTTTCGAACCTTTGTTCTTACCAACGAGATGATCACTGTTCTATCATTGATTAGTATTAGGTTTCCTTTGCATACAAAATTATTAGGAACTCCAGCAGGAGACTCTATGACGCCGAGTAGGGAAAGCCCACCTAGGAAATCTACCGGGCCGATGACCATCATATCTAAAATGAGAAAGTACCACTTTACTATACTAGGAATCAGCGAGGCAAGATACACTTGCTCTGGTAGACAACAATATACTGCAGAGGATAAAATTCTCCAACGACGCTGGAGATGGATAGGCCATACTCTCCGTAAGCGTGCATCCATTACCACCGGGCAATCACTCACCTGGAACCCACAGGGGGAAAAGGAAGAGAGGCCGGCCAAGAAACATCTGGCGGTGGGATCTAAAGAAGACAGGCCACACGTGGGGACAGCTGGAGAGACTTGCTCAAGACCGTGATGGCTGGAGAGTTTGTTGGAGGCCTATGCCTCGGCAGGGTTAAAGGCGTTGATGATGATGATGATGATGATGATGATGATGATGATGATGATGATGATGATGATGATGATGATTTTTGCTAAAATTATTAGGTTCCCTCTGCTTCTCACTGATTAGTATCAAAATTAATTTGTCTCTTTTACCAACAGAAATAATAAATAAACCATCAAATAAAAATCTCAAAACGATTATATCTGAATCGGGATACAATAAAATTCCGTATAATTATATTGATGTTCGGGTGGTGGTCCAAGGCCTGTTTTCGCGACTTAGAACAAAAAGTAGTTATTTTGTTTATATAAAAAGGACATTTTCTTAAATTAATTTCTAGCAAAAAGCATTGAATATACAGACATGTCAAAAACGTTTAACACTTTCTATTAGAATGAAATAAATATACCGCTCCAAGACATTATTCTATTTTCACGTGAGTTTATGGACTTTATTTACTAAGACATAATTGTATGACAATTCCATGAACTCTGATAAAACTGTTATTGCATGGCAGTGCAAACAGTCATAAAATAATCAAAAGTTGTTCCGATTAATGAAATGATTACAAACACACCTGCACATATTGCAACGTTTCTCATTAATATCTGCTATCTGCAACAATTATATATGCCAACGTGTATTTGCATATATTTATATTTATATATAATACAATTTAATTAAAATCCAGCGGTATATAATCTATCAAGTTCTCTTAAGTAAAAAAAAAATCAGTGTTTAAATTTCTTTCTTAAAGAGGAGATAGTTTGTTAAAACCTTACGGATTTGCAATGAATACCCAACTAGTGTATTGTTGAATTATATGTGAATACAGCGTAAATGAGCAAATGAGCAAAACTCAACGAATAAATGAATAAAACGTAAATTAATAAATGGTTAAAACGTAATGAGTCAGAACTTAGAGAAAAGAGTTTGGAAACGTACAGTTCTGAATGCGAGTTTAGATGATAATCGTGTGTCGTAAGATGTTTTGGATTTGCGTGTATCAATCAATGTATTGAGAAACTAAAAACTTTATTATGAAAGAGAAAAAAAAAACAAACAAACAAAACTCAATCCAAATAAAAACGTCCTACCAAGTCCTACCAAAGATTATAAAAATAAAATCAAGAGCTGCTTCGCTTGGCACTCAGCATTAAGAGGTTAGTGTTAGGACTGGTTGGCCTGGGGTCAGGATAATGTGACTGGGTTGGACCTGATGGCACGTGTCTGCGGCATGATGCCCTAGTGCTATGTATATCACAATAATCTGCCACAGTGCAGACATAGTAGCGGTAGGTCTGAAAACTTGTTTAAGATACATTAAAAAATCCAAATCACACACACATACACACACGCACGCATACACACACACGCACACACACACGTTTATTTGTAGCGGGCACAACTGAGATACTGTCTTTACTGCATGAGTAGTTTATGTCCCTTGTCTCGTCAGTTCTAGTTCCTAGAAAGTAAACAGTGTTATGTATATACGAGGTCAAACTTGGTCGAGTTAAGATCACTTATCGTCCTACAATTTACACGGGGCACTGAATGACATTTTAGTCATATATAAAACAAAATAAACAATTCTAGTTAAAATGTGAACATTTTACAAATTTTCTTGCCAAATTATGTATTCCTTATTGGACCAAACAACTTGATATTAAAATTGGGCTACACTTAGTGGATTTGGAGAAAAATGGAAAAGTTGGTAATAATATTTTCAATGGAAAGCTGACAATATTATTAAGTCATGAAAGAAGGCAATGACCACGATAAACTCAAGACAGGATCACGTGTTTGAATCGTGTTTCAATGCATTTGAAACAAGGGGAAAGGGCATATCAACGCAAACACTTGGTTATTATTATTACAGTATCAATGTCAAGAGGTTACATTTTTGAATGGCTACACGTGGATATGTTAAGACCACACGTATTCCTGCAGGCATTTCCCATATTTTCAGCTGGATACAGGGACGCGGTTTGGGGGTGGTGTTGGGCAAACATTTTGTGGTCAGCTATTTAATTTCACGGATGTGGCCAAAACATGCTTGGGTCTCACTGGATAGTTTTTATTTATATTTGAATGTCAAGTCATGTTGATGATTAAAAACTATAATCCTATATTTGAAAAAGTCACCTCCAATACGAACATTTAAAATGTGGATAAACAATGTATACTTGGGGACACGGTGCTACATTTCTGCGGCATGATGCCCAGCGCTAGGCATCACAATAAACTCACTGCATTATTAAAAATACGAATGACAGTTTTGTTTCCTTTGAGCGTTAAAATTTTGTAAAATCTTTATTCACTCTGTTATAATTTTTTTTGTCTTAACGTTTCCATTTATTGGGCCATTCTAGACACCATCTTTGCGGAGGACATACATATTAGTTCAATAATTATTTTCATTGCTTGAGGATTTTTCTTTCGATTAGTATAATTTATTTAGATCGCGTGAACACGCGCCCTCTTTTCAATTTAGTTAGGAGAAAAAGAAAACCAACAGAAGATTAAAATGATATATCGTTCCCTTGCATACTTTCTAACTTATCGAAGATAAGTTACTATTTCAAGTAATGAGAAGTCTTTGCCAGACATTTAAATCATCCGTGCCAGACATTAGCTATACAATCTGGATATTCCATGGGAACTGGATTAAATATATATCTTCTTCAATTATAGTTTACAAAAGGAAATTTTACGCGAAACACGTATCGTTTACTCGTGTGCAGTAAGAAATAAAACAGGATCGCTTTAGATTCTTTATACTGTATTCTTGGTTATAAACAAACAAAACATTCGTGTACATTAATCAGTATAAATTTCGCCATCTTATGCTAATAGAAAATGAAACGTTTTTGATATTTCTACAGTCATAAAACAATTATGGAAAATTGAATATTATCAAGATTAGAATGTAAACTGTAGTACATTAGTCGAAATCTGGTTTACATCAATATTGTCGAATCTGTTAATACCAGGGCGGACAAGGGTGATGCAAACGGGGATATATCTCGGGAACTGGGTTCGTAAGTTGACCTGATCCAAATAACACTTTTTAATTTTATAAAAGATAAATTTTGTTTGAACAAAAAAAAAAAAATAGGAGAGCCGAGTGTTTCTTACCCGAAGGCCCGTGATCGGTCTCTACGGACTTGTTGATATTTGGTTAGTCCTATCAATCACCCCCCCCCATTCTGTGTTGATACCGATGGACAATATATGGATCTGATGCTACTAGTTGATCGAAATGTGTAATTCTGTTGCATGCAAAGTATTCCGGAACAATTCTGCATACACATTAGCCATATACAGGTATTTGGTAACATCCATATCTAGAATGAAATTCAAAAAAGTCACAGGACAGATTGTTGTGCTATTTCACCCGGATTTGCAAGTCACAAAAGACAGAATCTACTCCAGAAATATAATGGACATGGCACTAAAATAATCGTTCAGCCGACGTTAGCTCCACAATCACGAGAAATACCGGAAAGTGTATAAAATCTATACCGATATGCATGTTAGGCCAAAAATGGTGGCAAATAACTGCAGCTTTTAATGAAAAGGTGACATCATCCCTAAAATCAATATTATCATGTGTGAGCGGCTGATTTATCGGCCTAGTATTTGATATATTCGATCTGGGTGTTTAAGACTCGTGTGCAAGTGACGGTTTGAAAGATGAATTTACGCAACTGACTATGAAACCTACTCTGCAAGACTGTTTCGCAAACTGATTTGTACAGTCGAGAAAGGATAATATCGACATTTGTAAACGCACGTCTGGAAGAGTGTAGTCATTACCTCGACTGAAGATTCACGACCAAGTGATCAGTTAAAAGCGGAATAAAGGTTCAGAAGGATCCAATAGGGATAGCCAAAGTATTCAACAATTTAGTTATTCGATTCGAAAAGCGATATGGACACTTGTGAATGCTAGCCTGGCATAATAATGTAATTTCTATTAATTGCACGTAGATGAGAAATTCTAAATGAAATCAATTTCTACAAACGATCTTAATATGATGTTCACTTGTCATAAAAAATGAAAACTGCAAACATAAAATCTTGTGTTTTGAAGAATTCAATAAAAATGCAGTATTAAATCTTGTGTCTCGTAAATTATTAAGAACGATAATTATCATGACGTCAGTTTTATCCGGACCGCTCTGGTGGATTAGTGGTTAGAGCGTCCGTGTCGGATGCGTGAGATCGCGGGTTCGAATCCCAGCCGAGACATACCAAAGACTTATAAAAATGGTAATAACAGGTGCCTCGCTAGACGCACAGCATTAATAGGTTTGTGTTGGGACTGGTCGGCCTGGAGTCGTTAGGATAACGTGACTGAGACATGATGCTGCTTGTCTGCGACATGATGTCTCCGTGCTAGACATCAATATAAACTGCCACACTGCAGACATCGTAGTGATATTATTGAAATTTGTTTAAAGCTAAGCTAAAAATCCAAATCTCTCTCTCTCTCTCTCTCTCTCTCACACACACACACACACACACACACACACACACACACACTGGATTAAATTTCTTTAACCACTGTATGACCATTATCACTCCATTTGTAATTCTTGATTCATGGTTACTTCTGTTTTAGCAGGTTTTGTGATATGGATGGGACATCCCCGCGGAAATCGCGAGTGCGGTACTTACGATTGCTGCTCTCATACAATGACTGGTCCGTTAAGTGTGACTTCCCTCCCCATGAACACCATATTCCATCAATAATTTTGTATTTTTTCTTCTTCACTTTACCAAGATTGGAAACCTCAATAGCCCAAAAATTATTCGTTTGAAGATGGATCGTATGAGCTTGTACCACACTGCACCAAGGCTAGTTATTCCCAGCCAGAATATTTCTCCTGACGCAATCGTTACTTACGCGTTGGGCCACGACGCAATCAGTCAACAGTTTCTGAAAATAAACACCGGTGGTAATTGAGTATTCATGGGAAGTACTTGGTGTCACGATTCTATGGTCGTAGACTAAGTAACTGAAAGAAGCAACACCATGCAGTTTAGCAAAAATCTACCAATATATTTAATTGTTTAAGATATAAAGTGAAAATTTAAGTGGAACTTACACTATTGTGAATTAAATCCCAAAAGATGGATAAAAGTTCTATAACAAATCCAGATGTACAGTGTTCCGAATGAATTACACTGATGATCCGAATTAATTCTAATCCTGAATGTACTGATATACCAATAGCATTGAAAGAGCTGAGTTTCAAACAGTCTTAATACATCACAATGATACAATACAGAATTTCTTTGAATGAATTCACGAATGGTCACAAAATAATTTTTAAGTCCAAAATGTCAATAGGCACTGTATAATTCCATATTAAAATGTACCTAGTTAATTCATTTCAATATAATTAAAAGTAATTTCATAATGACTGGTATCAAAATAGGAATTAATATTTAGTTTACAAATTCACACACACACACACATACATATATATATATATATATATATATATATATATATATATAGATATATATATATATATATATATAGTGATGTGTCGAATTTTGAAAACTCTTAGAAGAATTGGTTAAAGAAATTGTATCAAAGTCAACTTAATTAAAGTAGAAAGGGCTAGAGATAGATGATTATTTTTATTTCATCTCTGAACGTAAAAAGGGAATTCGTTCCAACAGACGTAACTTGACTGAGTTATATGCAACGGTACAAGAGAATGACATAAGACCCTTTCCTAAAATCGACCGGGTAAAGGAGGAAGCTTGCTATAAGTGATTGTTCAAAGTAACGTTAATTAGGGCATGATTAGTTGTTTAGTTGTCTTGTCAATCCAAAAATTCTACGGAACAGATTTAGGAAACGGTCTACTCCGATTGGTTAATATGGATTTATGGGCGTAACTCTGTAAGAAATTAAAGGTTTGACTTTAGGAAAATTCTGGAGTCTTCAATCGTTCTTGAAAGAAGAGGGGTCGACTCCGGAAAAAGCGTGAAAGACGTTATCTCGTTTTCGTTATTGAGTAAGGGGCCAGATAGTTGTCTCAGTTAGGAGACGGACTATACGTGAGGTTCGTGGAAACGAATAAAGAGACCGGCAAAAGGTACGCAATCTTAGTTTCCCGATTTTAATATGTTATTTCATTTGTTGATCTATTTGCAAATGTATTCTTGATATGATGTATGTATGTATGATTTCATTTTGCAGGATGTTAGTGAAATGCTAGTCACGACATTTTATTCTTTGATTTTCTAGTTATCAATTCATTGGGAGAATTGACAAGATTGAACGTAATTTAAATTTCAGTAGATTAGTTGACAAGATTGCATGTAATTGAATCTTTAATACATAGTAGTGATTAGGAATTTTCATGAATTAAGCTTAAGGGATGATGGGTAATGTTTCATAGTTTTATGGATTAACTCTGTCTAGAATGAGTCTGCCCTAATATTAAATGTATATCCATATACTAGTTCGTAATATTTAATTGATCACTTAAGTGTATATCTATATGCTAGTTTGTAATATTTAATTGGTCGAGTAAACTTTTTTAGAATAGTTAGATATGAGGGTCTAAGCCATATGTAACTTAACACTGCTAGATTGGTAGAGAAAGAAGTCAATGGGGGGGTTACATACGGGTTCATACGGCTGAGTTGAATTTAATTGACCACCCCTAGCTTGACCCGAATTAAGGTCAGGACAAGCATTGACCTCTATGTAAACATAGGAGTTAGGGAGCAATGAGTTACTGCGGCAGAATTTATGCCTTTTGTTTTCTGAGCCAAATTAATGTAAAAATATAGATACACTTGGGAATGTGACCTATTGTCTATTGCGAGACATTTTTTTTAAATGAAGGAAACAGCTTTCCTGTATTCACCTGAGAAATCCCTGAACCAATCACAGCACCAGAGCAAATTCTAAGCCGAAATCTAAGTCCAGAGACGATTGTCAAATCAGAGTTCGACTAACAAGAGACCGAGACCAAACAACTACACAAAGCTCGGCAGAGCAGGGACGAACGGAAGTCTTGATGTCCGCATAAAAAGGTGATGAAGTTTCTCATCGTTGCAATCAAAGGTCACATCTCGTTGGCAATGACGATAGAATATTGTCTTTGAAAGTAATCGTAGCCTTTAAAGAAATTTGTATTGTCTCTTTATTTGAGTACATGTTAGTACAATCTTCCTTCGTTTGTAACCAAGTCATTGATTTCTTTTCATTTTAAATTCTGTTGATAAACTGATTAAATTTTATATTTGTTCATTGAAAAGGGGCTCGTTGTGTTTATTTCTTCAATATACTTGTTCAGTGATCTGCATTCTTCTTTCTATCTATCCCCACTGAGCAAATTACACCGCGGAGGTCATTCCCTAGCAACGAACCCTAATGAAAGAGGTTGATGTGTTCTGAACGTCGCCAATTTGTCACACACACATATCTATCTATCTATCTATCTATCTATCTATCTATCTATCTATCTATCTATCTATCTATCTCTCTCTCTCTCTCTCTCTCTCTCTCTCTCTCTCTCTCTCTCTCTCTCTCTCTCTATATATATATATATATATATATATATATATATATATATATATAACACAATCAGATGATCAGTAGGTGTGTCATTTTCGCAAGTTCACTCTATGTCAATATGCCATGTAAACAGGTTTACAAAATATTGCCTTAATGTACAATCCATAACCATAGACAAAAGATTACCATTACAATCTATCATCATGTACACAAGGTAACACACAGTATATACATATTACTTGGTCAAAGGATAAAAACGGATTAGAGGTATGTCGTTTTCCGCCTTCCAGCTCTTAACTCTCTCTGGATATTTAAACGTTTACAGTTCGGCCTCTTTTTATCTGCTAGCAGCATCTACGACGGAAATACGTATCTGTTTACGAGTATCGAGTTCGAGTCAGAGTAAAGAAAACCGCTAATAATTTTTATCAGGTTAGACCCTCAAGAAACAAAAATCAGTGATAATATCATAGTATTTGCTGCACTTTGCCACGAAGCTGGTGAAATCTCATAAGAGTAAAAGAAAAAAAAAAACCCCAACGTTGTATCATAGATAATTCTGAAATTAGGTAAAAGTAGTTAATTCGAGAAACATTTAAACATTTAAGTCAACGAACAACATCTGGTCCACGATGGGAGGATTTTCGCGATGAAATTTAAAAATGTAAAAGACATGCATGGATTTTGTTTCTCATTTTGTTCATTTCTGCATTCAGAAACGTTAATTCTTGGCCTTGGCAAAACTTGTAGTCTCTAGTCTTTCAACAGGCACTGCAAACAAATTTCGATTTGCGATCAACACCTACCATAATTTTTATAATGCGATTAAAATTGTATTGGAATAGCTATTTAAAAATTGTTCCATTATATCTAACCAAGAGGTTTTCTAAAAATTGTCATTTAGAAGGTAAGTTGAGTGAAGTCTATTACTTGTTTTTGAGCCTTAATCTTAGGCATTTCTTTAAGTAACACAGCTTTATTTATTAAATAAATGGATAATAGTGGAAGCTCTGCAGTCTTAACACAGTTCTAGATTTGTTCATCCTAACAGAGAGAGAGAGAGAGAGAGAGAGAGAGAGAGAGAGAGAGAGAGAGAGAGAGAGAGAGAGAGAGAGAGAGGTGTTTGAGATTGACACAGGTGAGACTTATTCTGTGACCCTTGTAAGTTCAGAACCAGCACAAGACTTGAATAGCTATATTGGGGTTGACTGAGGTGAGAATATTTAGTGACTTTTGAAAATTCAAACCCGTCTATGACTTCAATAGGCACTCACTTAAAGCCCGCCGTGGCCGCTGCTAAGCTGAGATCGTTGCCACATTGGTGCTCCTTTATGTACACCAGCCTAAGAGCAGTTATCTTTGTCCTTGATTTGACTTGTTTATTTATTATAAGACCCCATAAAGAAAAGTGCTTTTAGGAAATGATCTTTTACAGACTATATTCGTGTACTGAAGGAAAATGGCGATGTCCTGCGCTACCTTATTTTTGTAAGGTCGCTTTCGCGTATAAACAATACTATTACATTTATTGGGGGGTTGGGGAGACACCTACATTTTGAGCACCAAAATACGTATTTTTTTATGGAATTCCGAACAACATGTGCATTATCTGATATTAGCCATTTAAGGCGTACCAATATTTTTGGGGGTTTAATGGGGTCCAGGTCATAGCCGTTTTAAGGTATAATCACGCAAGGCACGT